TATATATATATATATATTATATATATTATATATATATATATATATATTATATATATATATATATTATATATATTATATATTATATATTATATATATATATATATATATATATATATATATATATATATATATATATATATATATATATATATATATATATCATATATATATATATATATATATATATATATATATATATATATATATATATATATATATATATATATATATAGTAGGTACATATATATAAAGGAGCCCGGTGTGGCTAAATGGTAAAAGCCTCTTGTGGACACATTGCCTTGACTAATCAAGCAATAATACCGTACATATATAGAAAATAAAATGTGCGCATATGTATGTGTATATGTTCTGCACTCTATCAAACAAGCAAACAAACAAAGACAAACAGATACGTTGATCCGTTCATACTGTTAATGATACTTTGATAACAAGCTATTTTGAGGAACTCACGCGGCAGTATAGGCAGTGTGCTTCGCGAATTCTGTCCACTTACAATCAACAATTTGCGTAAAAGCAGCAGAATCATTGATGTGGCGGAAAGGCAGCTGCTTTGAGGAGGCGATTCTGATTAAAGGTGTGACGTCATGGAGAGTGGCAGCCCCGGACACCAAGGGGGGGAGGGGAAAGGGGGGGGGGCTGTCGTCAACCTCTGGATTAACAGGTTAATTAACAGGTGCAGAGTGATTCTCTTCTCTCTCTCTCTCTCTCTCTCTTCTCTCTCTCTCTCTCTCGTCTCTCTTCTCTCTCTCTCTTCTCTTCTCTCCTCTCTTCCTTCTCTCTTCTCTCTCTCCCCTCTCTCCTTCCGCCCCCTCTCTCTCTCCCCTTCGTCTCCCCGTGGCGTACGCGGGGGGGGGGAGGGGGGAAGGGAGGAGAGGGGGAGCGCGGGACGGGGCGAGAGAGAGAGCGAGCAGCGCAGCAGGCGGGGCGGCAGCCGGGAAGAGAGAGAGAGGAGAGGCGTTTGAAAGAGAGGGGGGGGAGAGAGAGAGAGACAGGGGGGCCTCTCTCTTCTCTCTGTGAGTCCCGCCCTCTTCCTCTCTCTCTTGGAGGGTCTCCCCCTGGGGGTGGGTGGGGGGGCTCTCGGATCTCTGCGGGGGCGCGCCAGGAAGAGACGACCGGAAGCAACCGAGGTGGCTCTCTCAGGGGTCGTCTCGCGAGGAGGAGGTTCGGGGAGTCAGTCGAGGAGAGGGCGCTCTAGGGTCGGGGTCGCGTCCTCTAGAGAAAGAAGGAGGTGGGAGAGTGAGACGCAGAGATGCAGAGATCTCTACGCGGATGATCGGACGTCATCGCAATGATGATCGAGATAGACGTGCTAGAGTAGTGTGGCGTGCAGATGCTAGCAGAGTACTCATCATGCTCATCGTCTAGAGACTGCACGAGAGGCAGACTCGTCAGGACTTAACAGTGTAATCTGTCATGCTCTCAGACGTCGTGCAGAATCATCTCTCTGTGTGCTCACTCTGCTCGTCTCTCATACTCTTCATCTATCGCTGTTAATCTCTCTCATGCAAGGTTTGATCCTGCATACATCGCTCTCCTCTCCTCTCTCCTCCCCCCTTCGCGCTCGCTCGTCGACGCAGTTGCCTACTCTCTCCATACTTGACGCTCCATAACACCTTCTAATCATGCACTCGCCTCTCACACCATCGTCTAGCTCGTCTTTCTCTCCACATTCAATGATCTCTCTGCTTGCTCTTTCTTCTCATACTCTCTGTTGATTTGTGCTCTCTACGTCTGCGATCTCTCGATAATTCTTCTGCTGATATATAAGTGCATACTGTGCGTCTATCCACTCCGCCTCCGCTCGTCGACGCTTCCTCCAAAATATGGCTTGTTATCATACAAGTATCATTAACTCAGCTCATGTACACCTCGGACCTCTCCCAATCGCTCATCCCTTCTTTTGCGTTTCTGTCTTTGTTTGTCTTTGCTTCGTGCTTTGCATAGAGTGGCATGACACTTCATACATATCTCCTCATTCTCTGCGTCTCTCCACCAACTTTTTCATTTTCTCACTCTTATCTCTGTTATCCGTGTCACTTCTTCTGGTCTCTGACTTCTCTATGCTTTCAAATGCGCAATGTGTCCACATAGACAGGCTTTTACCCATTTTAGCCATCCCGGGCCTCCTTTCCTATATATGATACCGTGTATCTGATATACTAGTATATATAGTCATACTATATTATATAGCCTTATATCTATATATATATATGTATATATATATATTTATATGATATATAACTATATATATATATTATATATAATATATATATACTATACATATATATACTATACTGATATATAATATATATCTATATATATATATGTAATTATGATTATAATATAATATATTATGATATATAATATATAATCATTATCATCGATATATAATTATATATTATGATATATAATATATAAATATAGTATATTGAAATCTAATATATATATATAGTATATATATATATATATATATATATATACCTATATATATATTGAATATATAATATAATATCATATATACATATTATTGATTATATATAATATATATATATATATATGATATTATAATATATATATATATATATGATATATATATTTATATTATATATGATATATAATAATATATATATATATGATATATTAATATATAATATATAATATATATATATATTGTGATATATAATATTATATATGATATGTAATTATATTTTGATATAGAATATATTATATATTTATATATATATATGCTATATAATATATATATATGATATAATAATATATATATATGATATATTATATATATATATTATAGTAGTATATATATATAAATATATTGTATCATATATAATATATAGTATTTCTACTACTAGTTGTAATATATATTATATATATTATAATATATATATGGGGTATCTAGTATATAATAACCAATTATTACTCATATTATATATTATATATATATTTATATTATATATATAATTCGAACATCGAAACATCGGCTAATACAACTGACATACACAACCCCGCACAACATACCATAACACAACTCGGCAACCTACTCTAACACTTAGATCACATACCACTCGCACACACATAACACACAAGTCGATTAGCCACATACACACACCGGGATATTTACCACACAACTCGCACCACACACACAAACACAACTAATTAGGAATCAACCCATAACACACATAACACTCCTCCTGTCCACATCTCACACCCTTCACTCCTCCTTACACCAACCTCCCTCTCAATCCCATTCCACTCTCGCCACTCTACCTCCCCTTCCCCCTCGCTCTTCATCCCTATCCCCTCCTACCTCATACACCACCCCGTCCCTCACCCCTCTGTCCCCCCTCACCGCTCCACTCCCTCCCTTCCTCGCTTCCCCCTCCCCACTTCCCTCCCTCCTTCCACCATACTCTCCTTCCCTTCCCCCTCCCTCCTCCCTCCCCCTCCTCCCACACACACACCACAACATACATATGTATATATTATATATATAATATAATATATATATATATATATATATATATATATTGGTGTGTGCAAGAAAATATGTTTAAAATTTTGTTTTTAAATCAATGTATTCGCGAAAGTGAGGACCGAATCACCATTGCATAGAGTGCAACACCGGTTCTGTTTAAAGCACGGTGTTTGCGTTGCACATGCATCGGGCGCTGGAAATCCGAAGATCGGCCTAGAGACTATTATAAAATAAATCGGCTTTTGATGAAGCCCGTGACGGCACGTGTGTTCTCTCAACGCCGTGTATTTATAGACCGCATCCTTTTTAGAACGCAGATGCAGCGCTCACCTTGGGCGCCGCGTCCTGGCGGGAGAGCAGAGTAATGAGGGAGGATGGTTGACCCGGCATGTGGCGGCCCAGACGGTCCCACCGGCGAGGCAAGCCAGAAGGCCAGTTGCGGCAGCGGCGGCGGCGGTGACGGGTTGAGGCCAGGTCGCCGTCCTCCGTCCGCCGGCGCGATCGGGTTCTGATGAGTAACGCGGCGTAAGTGATCGTATCGGCAGCTGATATTTAAGATGGCCGGACCTGCCCCCGGCCCAGATTACTAATTTAACGCTGAAATAAATTGAAGGTTGCGAGCCAAAATAGCTGTGGTTTGTCGATAAAATTAGCTGGGGATTAGATGTAATGATGATGATCCGACGACGAAAATAACTCTGGATGTAATATGGGAAACAGAATTCGTATTTTTAGATGGAAATTCCCCTTTTGAGTCGGCTGAAATATTGGGGTTGAAAAGACGGAGGAAATTAGCTTGCAGGGAAAATGTGATTACGCTAAATACTTTCATGGTCATCGAGTATCTCTAGGAATATCCGAAATGTTGGGTTTAAAAACTTCTTGCGTCCAGCATCACAATTCTAATCTTTGCAAGTGATGCATTTAGTATGAAAATGTTATCCTAGTTGATCAAATGGCTCAGAATTAAAGGCGAATCTCCCTGCTAACGCCAGGGTCGAGGCGTGATGGCCTCCTCTCCGCTGCAGGCTTTGGTGGAGAGCGAAGGGAACGGAAGATATTGATAGGTATTCTGATGGTATATATTGGATGTATTCTTTAGTGAAATACACTGGGTAGATATTATGATAGTGGGTATCCGTTATTTATATCACCGTGAAAGCAGACGGTGGGTTTGTTTGGGTAATGGCTTACAGTGACGATGACGGTCACGAGAGCCCCACAGATTCGAGACGTGGCGCGGGTCGTGGGGATCTATGGTCTTACAAAACAGTAGATGGCCGATTTGTCTTCCGCCTTGAACATTCACGCGATGATGATGATGAGTTGTTCTCCAGATATGTTGCGAAAGCTAACTTGAGTCACGTTCTCATCAGGAAGAAAACTATTTGCGTATTTGGGAAGAGTCCAAGATTTTTTTTATCTTGCACAATACCGAAGGACTCACGAATGTTGGACCGCTGGTGATGGCCTTCCTCTTTGACAGGTGTACACCAACAACGAGAACTGCTCCTCGACCATGTGGCAGCAGACGCACGAGCGCCGCTCCTTCGCCACCTACCTCAACGACGCCGGATACAGGACGGGTGAGTCTGCCTTGCAATCCAAAATGTTGTTATTGCTGTTGTTCTCTCTGTCGATCGGAGGAGATTTCGCTATTGGCCGCGTGTGCAGGGGAGTTGGTTTGTCAGCGGGGTTACGCGAAAAGTTGTCGGGCTGTAGTGGAAATTCATGACCAGGTTGGCACTGTTTAGATTTTGGGTAGATGGGTAGATGCTGGGTTGGTTGCGAAAGGATAGAGGCAGGGTGTTCGGAGTAGATCAAGGCTGATGAGGGAAAGTTGTGAGTCAAGAGTAGATGAGGGTGATTTGTGGTAAAGGCTTGCATGGCGAGTTACCAAGCCGATCGGGGCCAAATTTTAACAGGAGTTGCCTATGGCCCAGGACCGTGTGAGGAGAGGCTAGTGAGCTGATGTATATTTCGGGTTAGAAACGGGTGAGTTACGAAGGGGATATATGACGAGAAGTAATTTGTTTCATAGATTCGTTAACTAAACTAATGATTGGGGTTTGTGCTCTTTAATTGCTTTGCGATAACATGATTTTAGCTTTTCATTTTTTGTATAATGATTTTTAGGCTGTATTTATTGAAGATTGTTTTATTTCAATTGTTATTATTGTTGATTAGGTTTGTATTATCTTATTATTATTTTATATTCTTTATGATCATGTTACCATTATCATTGTTATATGTTTAGTTATTATTATCGTATTTATTTACTGTTGTTTTTAGTATTGGCGTTATTTATATATTATTTCTGTCACAGTGGTTATGGTGTCCGCAAGCGCGGTTCGTGGAATCCAGATTGTCTTGCCTCTTCTTCGCCTCCTTCACTTTCGCCTCCTCTCTGCAGACGTTTTTCTTGCAGGTTGCACGCTCGCTTCTTATCAGATTGGCTTCAGATTGGGCGGGGTTTCTTGCTGGGCGTTTGGGGGTTTTCTCTCTCGTGTTCCTATTCCTGTCATGTTGTGTCAAAAGGTATCTGTTGGAAGCTTTACGTAAATGTTTTGTATGAGAAGCTGCATTATGTTTACATCACTTCTCAACGAAATTGATTTTATTGGTATAAATTGGGTGTTGATATTATGATTCTGATTGCTTATCTTTTTACTGGTGCTCAGGCAGGTACTGTTTCGGTTACTTCACACGTGTTCTAGACGCTGATATTTTGCAGCAGATTTCCAAAAGAATCCTTGTCTTGGGAGAGAATGACAGCACGCAAGGAAAATCGGACAGGGAGTATCTCGTCTTTCCTTTAGTCCCCCCTCGCCGTCTCTCCGCGGGCTCGCTTATTTACCTTGCCTTTGCTTTGTTCCTTACATTCCTTCGCCTCTGTATCTCTCACAACAAAGGGAAGAAAAATCCCGTCACAAGTAATCGTTGTCTCCCGTTAGTTGTCCGACACGCGGGGAGATGTCGGGTCGGCTCGTTGAGGGTGATTTGTCGGGAGTGGAAATTCGGGCGGGAAGTTTGGAATGAAAACATCGTTGCCGGTACAAGACAAGGTGGCAATTACAATGGCACAGGCATTGTAAACATGGCGCCGAATGCCAGATGTCACCGGCTATGTGCGGCAGAAAGGTAAAAAAAAAAAAAAAAAAAATGGCGCGGGGGAACATATCCTTTTTTAATGAGTTTGGAGAACGCTGTTCGTGTTGTACAAGGCGTAGACAGGCCATTACACGCAAATGGCGGCGGTGAAAGAGGGATGGAGGGGAAAGGAAGAGAAAGGAAAAGAGGAGGGAGAGGGAGTGCAGAAGAATAGGAAAGAGAAGAGAAGAAAGGAGAGGTGAAGCTAGCAAGAACTGAGTCATCCTCCTTGCTCATCCTCACGACCTTGTTATTACAGACCAGGTAAGAGCACGTCGGCTACCTGTGCTTAGGCAGACCGTTTCTTGAGTGCCGGCTTCTGATTCTTGTGCGCTCACTTTGTTTTTGCCGTATTTCCCCTTCTCTCATTTTCTTTATCGTATTCACTATTATTTTTCTCACCATATTCATCGTCTTAACCAACATTACCACCAACACGAAATCACCATCATCATTACATCATCGTCGGCAGTCATCACCATGAAATCATCATCATTACATTATCATTATCACCACCACCATCATCTCCATCATCATTATTACATCATCATTATCATCATCATCATCATCATCATCATCATCATCATCATCACCATCACCACCGCCACCATCATCATTATTATCACCACCAACATCATTACATCAATTTCGTCATCATCACATCATCATTATCACCACCACCACCATCACCACATCATCATCATTATTACCATGAAAGCACCATCGTCATCATTATCATAATGGCCCTCGTCCTTCTTTTCCCTCCTTTTCCTTTTTTCCCTCTTCCACCTGTTTTTTCTTTTCCTTTTACTTCTTCTGATTCCTTCTCTACTTTTTCCTTTTCTTTGCCTTATTGTTCTTCTTGTTTTTCTTATTCTTCCTTTTTTTCTTCGGCTTCATCACCATCATCTCCTTTTTTATTCTTCTTTTCTCCGTCTTCTTCTTCGTCTTCATCATCATCTTTTCCTTCGTCGCCTTTCTTTTATTCTCCTTCGTCGTCGTCTCCGTTTTCTTGTTGTTGTTCTTGTTCTTCGTCTTAATCAATCATTTTCTTCTTCTTCATTTCGTCTTCCTCTTCGTTTTCATCGTTTTCTTTTCTTTTTTTCTCTCTTTCTTCACCTTCTTTTTCTTCGTCTTCGTTGTCGTTTTCTTGTTGTTATTCGTCTTCATCATCGTCTTTTTCTTTTTTCTTCGTCTTCTTCATCATCATCATCTCCTTCTTTTTCTTTTTCTTCTTCTTCTTCGTCGTCGTTGTCTTTGTTTTCTTGTTGTTGTTGCTCCTCGTCTTCACCATTTTCGTCTTTACTTGTATGTCTTCGTCGTCTTCTTTCTTTTTCGTAATTTTCATTTTCTTCTTCTTCGCCTTCGTTGTCTTCTTCTTCTTTGCATTCTTCTTCTCCCTCAACATGTTTTTCTTTACATCACCGATTCCTGATGACCCAGCGTGACCTCGCGTTCAAAATTCCCCAGTGGAAACCTTAACCCTGAATCACCCTTTTCCTTCGCATTTTCCGCAGTGCAGAGGTCAAACAGGTAGCCCTTCCTTCGCGGATTCTCTTGTCTGTGCAGCTTTCCCTCATTTTCTTTTTTTTTTCAAAATCTATCTTCTAGTTGCATTCTTCTCCGTTTGTATTTCCCATTCTCTTGCATTCCTTGTACTTCTCTCTACCTGCAACCCGTGCCTTACACATACTCTCCTTTTCTCTTCTTTTTGTCTCTTTCCTTTCGCCTCGTCGTCGCTCTCCCTCTCCCTTTCTCCATATCGTCCCTCCCCATCCTTCACCTTGCCCTTTCCCTTCCTCGTTCCTCGTATCGTCCCTCTCCTCCAATTCACCACTCCTAATCTCCCTTTCCCACCTTCCACTCTCCCGCGCCTCCCTCCCTCTCTCCTTCCCTCTCCCTCTCTCCCTCTCTCCTCCCTCTCCTCCCTCCTCTTCCTCTCCCTCTCCTCCTCTCTCCTCTCCTCTCCTCTCCCTCTCTCCCTCTCCCTCTCCCTCTCCCTCACCCTCTCTCAATGGCATTTGAACAGCAGACTGTCGCCAGGGCCCAATTCTTCATTCCTTTTACACCTTCTATTTCTAAGAGGAACGTGTTGCGGTCGGGCGCCTCTCCTCGTCGCGACCCGCGAGGAGGAAGGAGAGCGCCCTTAGAAATATCTCGAATAAGGTAAACAACTTACACTGTAGACGAGTGGCGCTCTGGGCACGTGCCACGACCTGGTCTTAAATTTATGACCATGCTGACCAGGTTCTGCATGTGCGTGCGTGCGTGTGCGTGTGCGTGTGTGCGTGCGTGTGTGTGTGTGTGTGTGTGTGTGTGTGTGTGTGTGTGTGTGTGTGTGTGTGTGTGTGTGTGGTGTGTGTGTGTGTGTGTGTGTGTGTGTGTGTTGTGTGTGGTGTGTGCGCGCGCGCGCGCCTCTGTCTGTGATTGCATCTGCGACCTGTGCGTCCGTCGGCGAGGACGCGTCGCCGGGCGTATCGGCGGGGATCGAGGTCCACCTGAGGCAAAAATCTCTCCCCAAAGACTCGTCGTAAAACTCCTGCGAAAGTACCGGCGCCGCTGTAACTCCTTTCTTATTTCTCTTCTGGCCGGGGAGATAGGAGGAGATAAGGGGCTTCCGGGGCCCCCTGAGCCAGCGCCGCCCCGCCACTTGAACACGCAGCAGTCCTGGCTTCGAGAGACGGGGCCGGGAGGGAGGGAGGGGGCAGGGGAGAGCATAGTAACGGAAGAGGAAGAGCGAGTAGAGTGAGAAGCTGTGAATGGCGAGTGAGGGTTGAGGGGAGAGGAAAGGGGGGAGGGGGAGGAGGCAGGTTGGCAGTAGACCGTAAGCGGGATTCGGGCAACGGATGGCAAGGGGAAAAGGGAAGGAAAAGCGGCGTCACGGGATCACTTTCTCCGACGCTGTGCTTTTCGCTCGCTGCCTCACGCGCCGGGAAGCTGGTCGGTTTCTCTCTTTCGGCTTCGCGAGGGATAGACCTCACTCGCTTGGTCTGTGTGGGATAAACTAGGCGGTAATAGGTGGTCCATAATTTTACTGGCATAAACACACGTGTATTCATGTATATACAATTTTGTGTTTTGTTTGTATGTATGTATGTATGTCTATTTTTATGTCTGCCTGCCAACGTCCACTATTCCCTGGGCAACTTGATCCATGTTTAGCATAAGCAGGACATTACCTTGGCTGTGAAGGAGGATCTGGTGTTCTCATTACCTTAGAAAAGGTCAGGAAAGGTTGCCATGTACCGGTCGTGGGAGACTCGCGTGACGAGAAAGCATCTTCTGACACCGATTCATTTTCATTATTATGTTTGATATCAGGTTTTTATGTGAGCCTCTACATGTTCATCTGTAATCAAAGTATTTCACAAAGTCGCAGCAAAAAATGGTAACGTTTTCTTGCACGCGTGTCTTGTACGTATGTGAGGGCAAATCACTGACTTTTTTGACTACCAGGATTCCGTCCCTCTTGTGGGAGGCTCTGGAGATAAACTTGACTGGCATAGTAGCATTCTCTGCAGTTTCATAATCTGATTCTTCGGCCCCTGTTACTCCTGTGAGGGTCGAGGGGTGGGACTTTCGTTATATCCTGTACCGTTAATTAGTGAGCATGATGGTGCATTCCGGGAGAAGCCAGGGCCATGTGCTTCCACGCCGCCTCCCGCGCTGCCGTCGCTTCTGTTCAGGCGCTCGTCCCCGGCCTGTCGCGGTGGAGCAACGCCCTGCTGATGTAAAGTCTGCACACGGCACGCTTCGAAACGAGGCATCAGTCAGTCCTAGGTGCTTGACCGGCAATCTGCTAATAATAATAGTAATGGTTACATTCCTTCTTTTTATACTCAACTTTCCTGTCGTTCCTGTAGGAGTTCGCGTCCTGCCCGTGGCAGGGCTGTAACGCTGCTGGTCGTGCTACACACAGGCACTCCAGATATTTTAGTGGCCGTGTCTCCCGCTCGTAAAGGTTTTAGCGCTGCTGTAATACGCTGGCGCTGCCGAATTCCTCGTTTTGTTGCTGCGCGGAAATACGATGGGGAATGCAGTGAAATCATATATATATGTGTACACAAATATATATATGACAGTGATATGATACTGCCATTGTCGACGCTTTTGCTTATATAAATCTCGGAGTCGCTTTACATTACCAGGAGTCCGGTAGTTGTCGTATATTTTCTAGTGCATATTCAAGAGGTCTAGAAAATAAGTGTTCTCGGGTTACAAGATGTGATCAAGATAACAGGTGGTTTATTTGGTGGTTGTGCTGGTGGCCTCGTTAGGCCAGGTGGAGGCGGCGTCGATTTATTGTGTGTAACCGCAGATACACGCACGGGCAGTGGATGGCCAGTGATGGTGCAGTATGAGAGGCGCTCGGACGGGCTTAATGTATCCTGATAATCGCCCCTTTTGTGGAAGAGGAGAAACAGCGCCTGAACAGCGCACCTGGCCGCCATGACCTGCCGGTTCCCCTGCCGAGCGAGCTCCGCGCTGCATGATGGGTTTGATGGCAAGGAGCGGATTCCTTTGAATCCCTTTGCCACTGAACAAAACAAAGGTGAACCCTAAGAGTACCAACCAGCCAGTCATCCTTACTGGGCACGCATCAAAGAATCTGGACCACGTGACCCTACATGCAGTGCCGCGTTGTGTCAGCCTGAGCGTGAGAGGGTCAAGACGTGGTCGGGTCGGCGGGGCAGCTTGGATAAATTGGAACTTTTGTTCCCCTGACGTCACTCGAGAAACCTGTTCTCTTCCCAGGCCAAACTTGGGGTGCCGCAGGGAAGTGCCTGGCCCGGACCGAGGCCGCGCCCGGTAGCGCCACAGGTCTTGTAAACAACGCATGCTGCCTCTTATCCTGACTGACCCTTATCCCAGGACACTTGCAGTGACCGACCTTGTCCCGAGATGCTCATGTCGATGGGTCTTGGGCCCCGGAGGCATCGTGTGCCGCAGTGCGCTGTCCGCAGCCTTTGTATTTCGAAGCATTTCTTGTTCGTGCTCACGACCATCCCAGAACGCCCAAACCTGGCAAGGCACCAGGAGTCAGCGTCCTGTTTACAGCACAAGTGCGCGCTTAATTAATGTGATTTACGGCATGTTCCTGTTGTATCTGGACTGTAGATCTCTGGCCTCCCCTTCCAGGGCCTGTGTAGGAAGGCGGCTGTATGACAACGGAAAAGAGACAGACGACGGAGGTGCAGAATCTATTCTGCTTTGAGGAAATATCCATTTCTTTGTTTATTTCCTTCTCGCTTGTTACTGCGAATCTAATGTTCTTCAAAAGATTATTCTCAAGTGTTGCAGAATGGCAAACGCATCTCAGTTTTGTTACAAGGGGCTACACGAGATAAAGGTCCCTGTGGAAGGTGGGCGGAAGAGCTGTCGCCATTTGTGTCTCTCCCTGTTCGTCTCCTCTCCGTGTCCCCCTTTCGCTCCAGTTAGTTTCCCAGAAGAAATGGCTAGAGCGGTGTCACTGGCGGAAGGTCGTTTCTTCTCGTATTACTGAAAGTCATCTTAAGTTTACCAGCTGGATTTTGCTACAATTGCGTTTATGTTTGATCGAAATAGAAAATGCTCTCTTGATCTTATTAGGTACTTATTTATTCAAACATAAGAATGTGTGCCGTCGTGCTTGCCATGGGAACATAAAGGAATAATTGAATCATTTTCAACAATGCTTATTGCTTGAATGTAATCACCTGCCTCACATGACTAAGTAATAGTCATGTGAGTACTTTTTATTGCGTATTTTCGCATAAGACGAATGACACGAATAATGTCTTTCCGGTATGTTTACGATGCAGCTAATGAACCAAACATGTACAGTCAATCACTTAGGGGCGTAACTGCATTCAAGGCATAACGCACAGTTCAGAATATTTTATTTTTCATTGCGCAGAAGCTTGCGAGAGGGAGTGAGTGCATATCCTTCTTGTCCCATAGCCATCGGGTGTATGTTTATAACTTGAGCAGGTGATACCTTCGAATTTATGTGGATGCGAAATGGATAAAATACAGCTCAACATTCCTCTATTACGTCATCGGATTTTTTCGCCCGAATTGCGCTTGTAGCCCAGCTGATATTTGCTTTGCGCGGACGTGTTTATCCACTGCGGGAGGTGTTTATGTGCATTTATGATTCCGCTTATATTTGCTGACACTTGGAATAGATATGTGGCGGCGAATCGCCTGGTGTCCGCAGAAGTCCTGCTGAAATCTGAGGTTTACGGCCCTGCTGTTAAGATCAGATGCTTCCTGACGAAGGCCACTTGAACTTTTGATGATCTTGTTTGGCACTTTCAGAAAACTGCTCGGCTACATATTTTTATCTTTATATCTCCTGCATGATACAGTGGGCAAGATATATCATCCTTGCATTTTTTAATGGGTCATGGGCATCCTGTATAGTTTTGGTTCTGGAGCATGCATAGTTTGTTTTTATGGGCAGTAACGTATTTCATTTACTGAAGCTATATAAAGCGTAGTTGCTTATGCGGGTTATGGCCTGCTGTGCGCCGGAGCTGTTGCAGTTTATTGGGT